AATGAGAAGGAGATGCATGTAACTGGAAACTAGTAGATGGCAAAAAACAAAAAAATGAGGAAGTGAGGTCAAGTAGCTTGTGTCTTGTAACAAATTAGAGCCATGCCAGGATTCATCTGAATTCTCCTCTTGTTTATTTATTTTGGGAGTTATCAATCTTGTGAACAGACAGGCCAGGATTCAGCCTCTTAGAGCTACTGACTGAATTCTTTTAAACCTTGCCTTTTTCATCTATAGACTATGGGGGTTGAACTAATGGGCCTGCAAAGTCCTTTTCTAGTGTGCTGACTCTATGACTGATTGTTGGCTTGGAGTTCCCTGAAACTTATCTACTGCAAATGCACATGGTATAATGTGGATGTGCAGTTTAGTCAATGGGTCTTCATAGCCCCCCGGAACCTCAGACTGCTGCCATTTCAAAATGGCCTAAGCAAAGTTTTAAACACCATTAACATCTTAAGGATTCCACAGAAGGGGAAAACAAGCAAGTGCACCTTTTGATAATATTAACTAAACATTATATGACTTCAGATAAGACTATTAGTTTGATTAAGCTCTCTGAAATAGTAAGAATGGAAAGAACTGGATAACAACCAATCAATTTGGCAGAATGGTTAAAAATGAGAAATCACCAATAGTGGGATATACCCTAAGAAGAATGTGGTAGAGCTATAGGTGTTGACATGACAAGCTGTGCAAGACCTACTATGACTATAAAAATAGATTTTAAAAGCAGTATCAAAATCATATGTAGCATATGATCAATTTATGTTGAATATATGTACATGTGTTTGTATTTGCAAAGAGAAGTGGAAGATTACTCAAGTGACCTTTAGCAGCAATTTCTTCTGGGGAATGGAATGAGGGACGCCTTTTCTAGGGAAAGAGGACTTCTACTTTCATGACATGTTGATGTTATTGAATTATTTGGTAACTAGGTTTGTGCTTTGTATGTCTCTCCAGGGGTTAATTAAGAACTTTGAATTAGGGAAGTTGCTTAAGTGATATTTATTTATACACTGAACTTCTACTAGGAATTTCCCTAACAGATTTCTCACCCAATATCCCCTTTTTGAGAGTTCTGAAATATTTCTAATCATAGGCTAATCTCTGTGAAGTGTAAAAACCATTGGTATCAAAGTCCCATTTTATAACAATAACAAAGTTGAAATACAATGGTGTAACACACTTTTTAAAAGGGAGAGACATCTTAGCCTGGCATGGTGGTACACACCTGTAATCCCAACGATTCAGAAGGCGGAGGTAGGAAGATCACAAGTTCAAGGCCAGCGGGGTAATTTGGTCAGATCCTACCTCAAAATAACAAAGACTGGAAATGTAGCTTAGTGGTAGAGAATTTGCCTAGCGCATGCCAGGCCCTGGGTTCAATCTCCAGTATTGTAAATAAATAAATAGTTTTTAAAAATCATTTGCTCCTTTCCATTTTAGTCTAATGGATTTAGTTTTCAATGAAAAGAATATAATTACATCAAGTGGTTTTATGTATATTAGGAATTTAGCAGCTATTATATATTACAACAGTCACCAAAGACGCTAAGATATTAAATCACATGTGACATTAAACCTTATCCCCTGTTTTCCATAAGTTACAGATTGGCAATTTTATCTATAAAGGGCAAGTAAGTAAATATTTTAGGCTTTGGAGGTTACACAGTCTCTCTCCCTATTCAATTCTTTGAGAAGTTGGCCATTAGAGTGCAAAAGCAGTTATAAATATATAAACAAGTACACAAATGATAAAACTATTTGTGGGAACTTTTTTTAAAAGTCTTCATACATATACTTTGTATAATGATGTCCATTACATTCCACCATCCTTGCTAATTTGTGGGAACTTAAATTTGAATTTCATATAACTTTTAGGTATCATGAAATAGTAATTTTTCTTCATTATGTTTCAACCATTTAAAAACATAAAAAAAACATTTTTAGTTTGTGGGCTGTATAAAAACAAATGGCAGGCTTGATATGACCCACAGGCCAGAGCTTGCCATTCTTAATCCTAAGCTTTGATAAACTTCTGATGTCAAAATGTTCTATACTCAGGCTGTGAAGAGTCTGGTTGATTAATCTGTAATGATATTTTTGATTTCAGCAAACCCTTCAAACTTCTTTCTTTTTTTTTTTTTGTACCAGGGATTGATCCCAGGGGTCTTTAATCACTAAGCCACATCCCCAGCCCTTTTTTATTTTTTATTTTGAGTCAGGGTCTCAGTAAGTTGTTTCAGTCCTTGCTACTTTGAATTTTTAAATAATTATTAATTTAGTAAATAGATAACTTTACTCTCCCTTTATTTAGCTGTAAAGAAATTAGCTATAGTTAAGGTAACTTAATATTTTTATTTTTAAAAATTTCTTATCTTTAACATTTTGATATGTTTCCTTCTAATGTGGATTTTCCCATCCATGCATCTATTTCACATAGTGAGAAACATTTTAGTAAGAGCCAGGACTTTGTCAGTGGAAAGATTTGGTGTTAAATTCATATTCTACCACATAAGAGCACTCAGACTTTCATAAATAATTTTGCCTCATAAGACTCGTATTTCCTAACTGTAAAATGATCATAATACAGGGATTTTTTTGGTGAAATTAAAATATGTAACATATTTATGTATGTGAAACATCTTCACAGATGGTCTAACGTTTAGTAATCACCCAGCACTTATCTAAGATGTGCATTAAAAACATCAGGAATACACAACAGTTACTGATTCTAGTTTGCTTTTTAAAATCAACATTATAACATGAATATTTTATTATGTCATTCAGTATCCTCTTAAAAATAGAATTTAAATGGTTACATATGATTCCATTTAATGGGTGGACCACAATGAATTAAGCCCTCCCCAACAAGGGACCTGAGATACATCCTTTGCCCTGCTGCATACATTGTCTTGGTAAATGGTTCACCACAAACCTAATCATTGCTTTGAGAAGAGTTCCTAGAAGTCAGATTTCCAGATTAAAGGATCTGATGTGTCTATTAGTAAGGTTGAATATTTTCTCTGTGTTTTGGGGGCCTGATATATTTATTCTTTTTTTTCTGTTTTGGTACTGGGGATTGAACTCAGGAACACCCAACCACTGAGCCACATTCCCAGCCCTATGTTGTGTTTTATTTAGAGATAGGGTCTCACTGAGTTACTTAGCATCTCACTTTTGCTGAGGCTGGCTTTGAACTTGAGATTCTCCTGCCTCAGCCTCTAAAGCCACTGGAATTACAGGCACGTGCCTGCATGCCCAGCCTGTATATTTATTCTTTTGAAAATTATTTTAAATTTCTTTTTGTATAAGAGATATGCCAACTTCCCCTATTCTCTTAAATAGTAAGATCATAATCAAACCTACATTTATTGAGTGTCTGCTGGGTAAAAGTGCATGCCAGGCTTGATTTAAAAACTTAGAGACCTTGGGCCCCCCTTTCAAAGAATCAGGCTGCCCAAGCCACATCCTCAAGCTCCTTACTCTTGTGAGGTCTCAGTTTCCTCATCTGTACCTCACAGGACTGCTTTGAGACTGAAACAGAAGCATGTGTATCAAGCCCTTAGCATGATGCTTGATCTATACTAAATGGTCAAGAATGTGAGCTCTTTTGATTCTCATCACTCCTATCATGCCATCCCTCAAGAGGCAAAGACAATTGTATGCACATGTGTGCAATAAAATAGACATCTGGGGTTCGAGGAAATGAAACTATAAACAGTCATTTCCTTTGTAGCAGAATAGCCTTATGGTTAACATTTCATGAGACCTTAGATACAAAATAAGCCCAAGAGCCAACATTCAGATCCAGAGGTTGCAGAGGGTTCCTGGTGAATATTCTTCATCACATCTAATTTGGATGAGAAACAATTTCAGGAAAAGGCCACCAATGTCTTTCTTACTTAATTTCGGCATACCTGTTTGCTTATACTTGCATCATGCCACTTGCAGAGGACTTGAACAAATAGATTTTTATTTGAACCTCACAATGGCTCTGAAGGCAACTGAGGAGGGTATTCTAATGCTCATTTTATAATCATAGAAATCAAGCTTCAGAAGCCTTGGTGATGGGCACAAGTTCCCCCAGATAGTGATTGGGAGAGTCAGTACTGACAAAGACTCTCCTTGACAAAACTTTAGTCAGTCTCTTCTAAGCCCAGAAGCCTCTAAGGACCACTCTATCCATCTTTGCATTGCCTGATTTGAGCAAGAATTCTTTTTTTTTTTTTGAGAATCCTCCCCCATACCTTGGTTTGTGAGCACCTTTAGTATTTGATCAAATTCCTCATCCCCCACCATTCCCCAGGAAATGTCTGATCCCCCTGGCCTGCCTCCAGCAAGAATCTTTCCAGATCAGTTTAACCAGAATCTCCCAATCCCTGAAGTTTCTTCTCAATAATTTTCCATCCCCCGACACCATTCTGCTCCCTGACTATAAATTCCCACTTATTCTTGCTATATTTGGAATTGAGTCTAGTTCTATACTGAGGTCTTTCGTCCCCTGTTACAATAGTTCTGATAGTACCACTTTAACTATTTGCCAGCTCTTTTCTTTTTTTAACAGCACCCAAGCTTGGAGGTTGGTGGAATCTTAGTCCTATATTCATCCCACCCTGTCCTATCTATGTAGTCATTCAACCTACCATATGCTGCATGAAGCTCAAAGTAACTTCAGTGATTGGTATTGCTTCAAAGCTAAAAATGTAGGATGAAGAAATGAGATCTATAGAAGCCATGTCTCCAGTCCAAATATCTGCCCCTGCTCACTACAGCACACATATATAACTTTTGTAGGAAGTTGGACAGAGAAAGTGTTGATTAATCTGAAATTATGAAATGCTTTCCCAATTAACCTCTATTATGAAATATCACAAAACTGTTTTCCCCTGGGAAATAGCCAAAATACAATGTTAAGTATTATTCTTTCCAGCTGGTTTTAGTTCTTCCCCCAAAGATCACAGATAACAATTTTACAGATCTCTTGGATTTCTTACCATTTTGAGTCTTCTTCCAAAATGGAATATAGAGGTCTGGTGGAAGAGGGAAGAGCATGAGAGGTACCAAGATCAGCCTGAGATGGACTCAATAGCATCAACTAAGATAAAAACAGACATTGAACTTGACATCACAAAGACACCAACATACTGTAGACTAAAAACATGCTGTAAACATTGCTTTAAAATATGTTATTGAAAATACCTATTAATAGTATTTATTTCCTCAAAGGTAAAAAAGAGACGAACTCCAGAAAACCATTTCTAATGTTACTAAAAGTCTTTATCTTTGAATAATTGACATTTTAGACTACCACATTTTTGCTTTATATTCTAAAAATTGTTTGCATATGATTTGGGTTCCCTCTCTTTCCCTCCCCACTCCCTTATAGCAGTGCATACATCAACTTACTTAAATTATTCCAATTTGTTCCAATGCTTAAAATACTTTTCTTGATTGCATGGAGTGATTCTATATCTGGAGTCTTCTGAGATGAAGAGATAGGCAGGAGGAAACATAGAGTCACAGAGACTCTAGGCTGTCAGCCCTGGAGTTTCCAAGTGTAAAGATGATGTGGGAGGGGGCAGCAAGGAGGAGCATGACTATTTAAACCACCCAGACATGGGGTTTGCAGAACCACTAGGTTCCTCTTATTTCTACCACCATAATTGGGGCAATATCTCGTCTAAGTCCAAACCACTGGTCAGACTAATCTTTTCTTTTTTATAACAGAGTTTCTCAACTTTGGCAGTATTGATATTTTTGACCAGCTAATTCTTTGTTAGATTGCAGGGTGTTTGGCTGTATCCCTGCCTTATACCTACTAGATACCATCAGCACTGCCTCCTTTCCTTTCCGTTGTGATAATCACAGATGTCTCTAGACATTGCAAAATATCCCCCAAGGGACAAAATACCACAGGTTGATAACCACCAGTTCTATAGATATCTCAGAGACATGTCTAAATTTACCTCATTTTGTTTTGGACCCAGCTGGAAGAGAAGCTGGTTTTTAAGCTACTATTTGGTTCATTCACTTTAGTTTAAAAAAGGCCAGTCGTACTTGCATTTTAGTGTCAGATAAAGCCTTGCTTCTGAGACCATGGTCCCCAAGAGAATGATTCCTTTCTTAACTGATTATTAGAGTCTTTAGTAAGTAAAGCCAAGATACTGTAACTATATTTAAAGCTATTTAATCCACCTTTTCTGTCTGAAAAAAATGGTAAATTCAGGCTTTGGCATAGAAAACTCAGCTGAAAATGACCAGGATCAATACACTGGGTTGAAAAGTTGCTGGTGCCCTAAATTGCCTGAAAAACTACTAGATACAATAATAACAGGGGCTGGGGTTGTGGATCAGTGGTAGAGCACTTGCCTAGCATGGGAGAGGCCCTGGGTTTGGTCCTCAGTACCACATAAAAATAATAAATAAAATAAAGGTCTTGTGTCCATCTACAACTAAAATAAATAAATAAATATTTAAAAAATAATAATAATAGGTAACATTTACTGAGGGTTTATTATGAGCTAGATACTATTATAGCTACCTCATATGTATTAACATTTTAATTGAAAACAATGAAGTAAATATCTTATTACTCATTTAAAAAATATTTTTTTAGTTGTAGATGGACACAATACCATTACTTATTTATTTTTATGTGGGGCTGAGGATCTAACCCAGTGCTTCACCCATGCTAGGTGAGTGCTCTACCACTGAGCCCCAATCCTAGCCCTTATTACCCTTTTTTTTTTACAAATACTGAAATTGATGCAGAAAGGATATTGAACTTCCCCTGGGTCACATAACAAGTGATACTCACATATGCATAAAAATCAAATACCTCGGGCTGGGGCTGGGGCTCCGTGGTAGAGTGCTTGCCTAGCATGTATGAGGCACTGGGTTCGATTCTCAGCACTGCATATAAATAAATAAATAAAGGCCCATCAACAACTAAAACAATTTTAAAAATCAAACACCTCCTTATCAAAGATCTCTGCTATGCAAGTAATATGCAAAAATTAATATTTTTCTCACATATAAATGGTAAGTGACCTAAAGAGGCCCTGGAAGGGGAGAGCCCATCCAGAACACTAAAGTCAGAAATGCTTGAGAAGAAAATTTGACAGGAAATGCAAGGTGGAAGAGGAAGCAGCTTCGCCTACCAAGTAGGCTGCAAGTTGTGCCTTTGCCAGCCCTCACCTTGTCCCAGCTCTGCCATCCTTCCCATCCTGTTCTGTGTCCCTGGAGGCTGAGCTATATGAACAACTGTTCTCAGCTCACTGCCTTCTGGTTGGGAGACCTGGGTTGGATATCTGAATGCAGGATCTCTCTCCCCCTGGCTGCCTCTCGCTGCCTGGTTGAGAATCAGCTGCAACCATTATCTAATAATGCTCTTGTTCAGTGATGCTTTCTTTCCTGAATTCCAGTAATTGCTTTCCCCCCTTGCTGTTTTAGGCCTGGAGTCAGGAGGCTTTTCCCTAAAGTGCAAAACCCTTTGTGATTTCCTTAGATCCTGTCTAAGTAATACAGTCACTTTGCTGAGCTCATCAATTTCTCATGTTAGTGTGACATCTGTTTCCTGTTTAGGCCCTGGAGCATGCAAAGACATAAATAAAGGAAGAGAAATATGCTGTTATTGGGAATAGGGGCCACAACATTGTAAAAAAATGGAAATTTTGCTTTGCTTGTAGATGTTGTGCAATCTCCATCAGATACCAATAGGACTTTTTAAGACACTTACCAGATGGATTTGAAACTGAGGGACATTTGGAAAATCAGTTGAGCTATTTTGTTTATTACAAAGACTGGGGCAATACTATCCATGAATGTCATCTCCTTCTGTATAATAAAAGCTACATTATTGGTTCTTAGGAATTTAGCCTGACTGGGGCAAGAGAACAGCCAGGTAATTTCTGAATGAAAAAGTACCAAGTGAAGGGTTTCTCTTCTAGATCTATAATAAATTACTATAATGATGTGTTGTCTAGAATGGTATAGAACCTAAAATTGGCTCATCAATACAACAGAGAAGTCAGAATTAAGTAAAAGCACATGTAGAGTATAAGAGATTATTCAAATAATGTTGGGCAATTGGCTTGAAATTTTAAAAAAACCCACCCTACCATCCAACCTTGTTTCTCATATTAAAATGAATTTCACATGGTTCAAAAATTTAAATATAACACGTTGAACTAAGACTGCTAGAAGAAACCCTAGATAAATGTTTTCATAATCTTGAAGTGTGAAATTTGTTCTAAGTTTGACAACAATAAACACACAAAAATAAACCCCACTGGCAACAACTTCAATGTCTTAAGGAAAACATTGAGAAAGTTGAATACATAAAAATAAATCTTACTCATCTGTAACATGAGAGATAAGGCTGAGTAATGCTGAATGACAAGTAATGACACGTCCAGGTTTTGTTTGCTAAGGTGCTGAGAGATCATGATACTATGCATTTAGCATATTGATTATGCTTTCTTGTATGGGTATTTATTCTTTATTCATATCTCCTAGTTTCCCAGTGATATTATAGATCCATTGAGTTAAGAACATGTTGTCTCCAGCATCCTGCTCACAGTAGGTGTTTAAGAAATTGCTCATTATGACGATGAAGATAAAAGTGATCGTGAGCTGGGGTTGTGGCTCAGTGGTAGAGCACTCACCTAGCACATGCAAGGCCCTAGTTTCAATCCTCAGCACCACATAAAAATAAATAGATAAAATAAAGGTATTGTGTCCAACTACAACTAAAAAATAAATATTTTTTAAAAAGAAAAGAAAAGTGATCATGAAAATAAGAACATTTCAATCAATTAGACAGATTTTGAGAGGAAGATCATTAGGCAGATTAACCCATTGAAGTAATCAGTTATCTGACTGGGTTCACTAGTTGGTTGAATTAACTAGCATTTTTGTCAAGTGCAACTTTTCTACTAATCAAACATCAACAAAGCCTCTCTTTTCTTATTCAAAAGATGTTAAGTCCTTTCAAGCCAGGTGCCTTGGTACATACCTATAATCCCAATGACTCAGGAGGTGGAGGTAGGAAGCTAGTCTTGGCAATTTAGTGAGACCCTATCACAAAATAAAAAGTACTGGGGATGTATTTCAGTGGTACAGCACCCTGAGTTCAAACCCCAGTAAGCCTTCCACCAAAAGATACTAATTCCTTCTTAACTCAGTATGGTAAATTAATTAGCAGAGTGGATATTGATTTTCTAACTGATATTATATTATTCTACTTTTTAATTTTTTTGGAGTGCTGGGAATTGAACCCAGGGCCTTGTGCACACTAGGCAAATGCTGTACTACAAAGCCCGTCCCCACTGGCATCATTCTGTCTTGACTTCAATTACATTAATATCCTTGCTTTAAAAAGAAAAAAAGCTTCCTTTTTCTTCCCAACATTTTGTTTTGAAAATTTTCCAAAATATAGAAAATTTGAAAGAATTACACAGTATAACCTGAACACTGGTTGTCCAAGTTCAACAACTGTTACCAGTGAGCTACATTGATTTTATCCTTTTACATGTGGATAGATACTTATATATTTTTCTTAATCATCTGAAATTCATAGACAACATGAAATTTTGCCCCTAAATACCTAAGGCAATATCTCCTAAAATGAGGATGACATCAAAGAGAACTAATAATTCATATAATCTCATCAATTCTGCATTCAAATTCCCCCAATTTGTCTCGAAAACATCTTTTATAACTTTTTAAATTATATTTATTTTTTTCTGATTCAAAAGCCTCTCAGAGATCTGTGTTTTCTTTAAATCTTCGTTTATATGAAAACTTGTGAAAAAAATACAATACCTTCAAAGTTTATTCTAAGCTCTGTGTCAAAAACTTTCTCATGAATGGCAGACCTGTTTTTCCAGTAATGGACTGGACTGTTTTTGTAAGTACAAAGAGGAACCATATTATTCTAAAACAAAGCCTTAAGATTTTGAAACGTTAACTTATAAAAGTTGAAAAAAGTTAAAAATTAAACATACCATTGTCATTTAAAAGCTACAAGAATTTTCTATCTCCTTGGAGATCAAGGCACTGAAGTGTGTTATATTCTTTATTTCTTTCATTTTTCTTTCCCTTCCTCTCTGCAAAAAATTTTGATTGGGGTTTTTAGTTGGCAAATATAAGACAATATTTTCTAAAGGTTTTTCTTTAATTTTTATGGAAAATAATAGCCATGAGTTTAAAACTCTAAAATAGAAAAAAGAGAGGAAACAGAAATATAAAGAAAGAGGGAATTGATCAAATGGGGCTTTTGGGCAAACATAAAGTCCCTTTTTATTTTTCTCTGATTTCAATTACTTATTTCAATAGGTAATAAATATTCATGTAGTACTTAACTTTTATATAGAGATATGAAGATAGATACAGGGAGAGAAAGGGAGAGACACTATATCATGGTAGGAGCTCCAAGACCACCCTTGGTTTGGTGATTCACTAGGAGTTGTCACAAGTTTCAGCATATGATCCTACTCACAGCTACAATTTATTATAGTGAAAATATGCAAATCCAAATCAGCAATGGGCAAAGGTGCCTGGGGTACTGGTTAGAGGGAAAC